AACGTCCTCCACAACTAGACTGAAGAACAAAAGGACAGCAACTTGTCTGTTCCCCTTCCCCCAATTCCCCAATAAAAATCTTAAAAAAAAAAAAAACCAAACAAAAAAAACAGGCCAAAAAATTACTCACCTGAAAGGAAAAGACTGATAAATCTGACTACACTAAAATTAAGAATTCCTATTCATCAAAAGATGTTATTAAGGAGGAAAAAGAAGCACATGTGAGAGAAGGTATCAGCAGTGAACAGAGATACAAATCGTATCAGAAATATGTAACTCCTACAAATCAATAATAAGAGAATCAACAGATAAGTGAGCAAAAACCTTCCCGAGGCACCTCACAAACGAGGGACACTCGACAGGCTCCAGCTCCTCGGCGACCAGAAAAAGCGCGTTTGAACCACAGCCGGCTGGCAATGCTCTCTCAGGGCGGGTGACTATCACGCTGCCTAACAGCGTGGGGCGCTGGTAAGTTCGGGGAGCCAGGGGACCCCACTTACGATGTTTGTGGGAGTGCAAGTCAGTACAGCACTTAGAGAACCTTCTGGCATCAGCTAACGGTGGGGAGGAGGGGCACAGCCCAGAAGGCAAGTGACCAGGGAGCGCTCAGCGACAATGCACAAGCTGGGGGGCACTCGCTGCACAATGAAACACACTATGAGAGACATATGCAAAATGCATTCATTTGAAAATAATTTTGAGGGAAATTAATATATATCGCGTACGTTGTCCATATATATATGCATTATGCGCCTCATAAAGTCCACAAACAAACCAGAACTATAGTGAGTAGCGACACAAACAGCTACTAAAGCAATAATGCAAACCAAGGAAGTTACTGCTATTAAAGGAAGAGATTTGGGGGGTGTGTTTGTTGCGGGGGGCGTGGGTGTGAGTGCACAGAAAACTCTTAGGGACCCGGTAGGGTTCCGTTTACTGAGCAGAGTGGCGGCTGGTTATACACGTGTCTCACAGTCATTTCTTTTTTTGTTTTTGTTTTTGTTTTTTTTTAGCTGAGCCATCCTGCTACCTGTTGGCAGCTCAGCGGCTGCTCAGCTCAGGCTGGACTCGAACTGCTGTTGCTCAGAGCTCAATCTCACAGTCATTTCTTAAGCGGCACACCTATGTTTTATGCATTCTGTCCGTCTGTGTGACAGTTCACCGGCCAACAGCGGTGCTGGGAGGAACACACCAAAGCTACAAGACCTGTAGTAACATGGAGGCTATCTTCCCATGTAGCTCGTCACCTCACTTCCCTTCCATAGTCCTACTGGTTTTATTTTTCAAACCTTTACATAGGGACACTCGGCTTCAGCTCGTACTTAAATGAAGACGTCTCCTGCCTCTGTGCTACCCTGTGACTTCAGTGACATCAGCACTTTGTCCCCGTCCTCCCTAAGTCTCCCGGCCATCTCTGCAGTGTGTGACATCCGGCCCTCACTCTCCTTACAGCCAGGCCTCAGTTTCCCCAGCATTTCTCCTGCTGCCTCATCGGCCCTTCCAAGCTGCTGCTTCTCAGAAGGTAAGCGATCCTGTGAGCGCCACAGAACCACTCTGAGGTCAGTACACCTCCCCCACTGGGGCTGCCTTCAGAATCTAGAACGTCGGAGACTGTTCACAAACCCTGCCAGCTCCAAAGAACATCTGCGTCACAGCCTCCAAGGGTGGGGCACGGCTGCATCACCACAACTATACTCTCTGTAAGGTGAAGACGACTTGCTGAGTTCTGGTGGGTCAGTCTCCGCCTTCGACGGCTGCTTCCGAATCTAAGATGCCACAGGCACATCTCCAATCTGAATTTTTTTCTAAGACATATTGCAACGGCCTGCTGCAAACATTCACTCGGAAATAACATCCTCTGCTCACACCAAGTGTACCTCAAACTAATTCATCACCTTTTCTCCAAAGCCAGCCTGTCTCCTGTCTTTCATGTTTCTGTTACTGCTGTTCCTACGCAAACTACCCAGGCCTGAAACACCAACAGGAAATTCCTTTTTTCTCACTGCTGACCTGCCAATCTGAGGACCGCTACCCAAATTATTTAGACTCAGTTTATCTCGCTAGGCCATGGCTTCCTTGATGGTTATTACACTTTTTAATGCCTTCTACGCTCAGTAGCACCTAAGGAAAAATCTGAAGATTGAAATTCAATAAATGTTGTTAAGAGAGTTTAGGAGATAACGAATAAGCCCATCAATGAATTAGAGTAGTGGTTCAATTTTTCCAAGGTGGTCAAGTAGGACAGCACTATAAAGAAAAAAAACCACACCTTTCAATGTAGGCAACAGAAACATACGTCAATTTCAAGAGAGAAAGGGAGGAGAAATCAAAAGGATGGACACTCAGAGTCCGGACAGAGCGACAGCAGAACAACCTGTGAGGAGAGGAGGACAGCCAACCACCAGGTAGGTGGTCCCGTATGGAGCTGTGGGCAAGCCTCAGTCTCTGCATCTCTTGTGTCTTTAAGGGGAAACTTTGCAAACAATATATAAAAATGTGCTACTTTCCCACTGACTAGTGATTGTGTAAAAGAAGTTCCCAACTGGCATCTAACTCGCTCACCTGAAAACCGGTCTCTTTTCACATCTCCTCTCCGCAGCCAGGGCTCTTTTCTTTGCTCTAACAAGGAGACCACATCTGGCTTAGAAATGATAAGACCTGCTTGCAGAAAATGAAAAAAATTCAAAATTGGTCCTTGAATCCTCAGAAAAGAGGGACCATTAAAAGAAATGCCAATGTAAATTATGAAAAATGTCTAAAGATTTGGTGGAGTTATAATCCCTATCTTAACACTGATTAAAAATAAATAACCCACCTCCCTTGGGACTATTTGGCCAGATGATCAAGATTCACAACAGCTGTACAAACGGTCCAATGCTGACGGAGGGGAGGCAAGGACTTACCCAGTGAGACCAGGTGGCCGTAGTTCTCCAACATCACATGTCTGTACAGATCTCTCTGAGCAGGCTGAAGCCACTCCCACTCCTCCCGGGAGAAGTCTATGGCCACATCTCTGAATGTCACTGAGCCCTGAAATGACACACACATCTGCACATGCAGTGCCCAAGCTCCCAAAGACCTGGATCCAGGAGTGAAGAGTCCCACTGTGGAGGGTGGACGGTGTGCATACGTAATGGAATGGGAATTTTCAGAATTCTGAGTTGCTAGTAAGAGTGTAACTCAAAAAGGGCCGGCTGAGTGGCTCAGTTGGTTAAGAGCTTGCTCAAGAGTGTGAGCTCTGAGCAACAGAAGTTTGATTCCCTGTCTGAGCTGAGCAGCCGCTAAGCTGCCAACAGGTGGCAGGATGGCTCAGCTTAAAATAAATAAATAAATAAATAAAGAGTGTAACTCAAAGAGCCCAGCTGTTCTGTTTTGTCGTGAAAAGGAGAAAAAAGTGCATGGGATGTGTCCTGAGACGATTTCCAATTTTGTGAAAGGTAAAGCATTACACGTGTGAACAGCATGGATTTCTGCCTCTGGTTGTAAATACAGCACTTTGTAAACAGTCCAGGCAATTCCTTTGTGTTTAACAGGCAATGGATGTTTTCCTTAATACCAACCTATTTTAATGTGATTTAGCAAGAATGGCAGCAGAGAGCAGCAGCACCCTTGAAATGAGGCATGCACTGTCAAGTGTGTCACATTCCTGAAGACATAGCTGTGGAACTTGGAGGCAATTTTAGCGATGTCACAAGGAGGATAAGCAGTAAAGTACAAGGATTCCCCCCCCAAATCCCCAAGAGGGACTGTCGCATCTGCCAATGGAACCTAGAGCGGCCCCTTGGGTTGGGAGAACAAACCCCTGTTTACGGCCTGGTCTGCACCACTTGAGTGATCCACAGAACAGTTAGGCATGGAGAGGAGTTTTAAAAGGTCCCATTTTAAATTGTAAAACTAGTAGCAGCCACAAATGAATGGCAGGGTTATATTTTAAAAACATTTTTTTTTTTAAGATTTTATTGGGGAACTAGGTTGGGGGGGGAACAGTGTTCAGGAATTGGGGAAGGGGAACAGCCAAGTTGTTGTCCTTCAAACTTAGTTGTGGAGGGCGCAGCTAGCTCAGCTCCAAGTCCAGTCGCCATCCAGCTGCCTGTTGGCATTGGCAGCTCGTGGTAGCTCAGCTCAAGGTGCCGTGTTCAGTCTTAGTTGCGGGTGGGCATAGCCCACCATCTCTTGAGGAAGTCCAACAGGCAACCTTGTTAGGAGCACGTGCTCTCACCAGCTGAGCCATCCTGCCACCTGCTGGCAGCTCAGTGGCAGCTCACTGGCCTATGTTGGAATCCAACCCACCACACTGTTGCTCAGAGATGGCGCTCTTAACCAACTGAGTCACTCGGCCGGCCCCCCAAAACATTTTTTAAGTGATAAAAGATTACTGACTAACAAAGGAGGGAGCTGTTTCCATAACTGAACAGTGGGATATGCAGCCCAGGTTTCTACCCAGCAAAAGTCGGAGAGCCTCCAGGTTTGGAGACAAGAATGACAAAAAGGACAGAGAGGTGGAACTAAAAACAGGGCCGACTTTGGACTGGCCTTCTTATCCCCGACCTCTGTGAAGCACACCTGCCAGCCAGTCATTCAGCCAGGATGGAAACAAAAAATGATCGCTGTTCTTTGCTAAATAAAGTTAAAGTCACATCTGCAAATGTGCTCTGTGGGTTCTGAGGTTTTGCTTTGCTTTCTGCCAAGTCCCTCAAACCCAGGATGGGTCATGCGTTACTGTTAAAACGCCCTGCTGAACCCCACACCCGGCTTCTGGTTTACGAGGTCTGGGGGAGGGCTCTTGAACATCCATGTCTAGTAAGTTCTCAGGTGATGCCGACACTTCTGGTCCGGGGCTCCACCACGAGACACTGATAAAGGTGCGTAAAGTAAATGCTCAATAAAAATAGGTACGAGTGAGCGCACAGGCAGCTAGAGCAAGACCCAGGGAAGCGCCTCGTCCTGACACCGGGGGAAGCGGAGGCGGCACCGCGGCTGGCGCCCCGCCTCCAAACCCCGCACATCGGAGTGGCCTGCGGGACAGCCCCTCACACCCTCTTGGGGACAAACGCCCGAAGGGGCGGACCCGGCAGGAAATCTCAGGACAGAAAAAAGCCCACGTCCCCAAGCACTGAGCTTCCAGCTTCATTTCGGAAGAAGACGGCAAACACCGGCTTACCTGAGACATGGCTCACAGCGGGCAGCGAGGAGAACAGGACGGGGAACCGGGAGAGCTGGCAGGGAGAGAGGGGCCCTGAGCGCGCAGGCAGGTGGCTGAGCCCCGCGATGGCCGGGTCCCTGCACTGGGGAGTCCCGTCGCCCCACAATCACCCGCTCGCGTCACACAGGGACAGAAAACGCAGAAGGGCCCGGGGCGCCCGGGGGAGCTCCCTGCCTGCCACGCGCGGGCTCCGGGAAGCCTGACCTGCAGCCCCGGCACCTCCCGCTTTAGCGGGTCGCAGGCCGGCGCGCTTCCTCTGCGCTTTGGGCAGGTTGGGCGAAGTGTCCCGAACTCCGGACGGAGGCATCGCCCCGGGCCACCCGGCGGGAATCGCGGTGCGGGCGGGGTGGGCTCCTGTACTCACCTCCGCGCTCTCGGCTCTGCATCCAGAATCCCCGCTCCAGCGACGCGCAAACGGTACCTTCCGGAGCCTCAGGGACCCGCCTGGAGCAGGCCGCGGGCCCCAGACAGCTGCACTTCCCAGGAGCCACCGGGGCCTCAGCGCGCGTGGGAAGAAGACTACAACTCCCAGAGAGCCCCAGGCGGCCAGGCCAGAGACAGAGGGGCCGGGCTGCCAGGCAACTACACTTCCCAGGAGCCACCGGGGCCTCAGCGCGCGTGGGAAGACTACAACTCCCAGAGAGCCACAGGCGGCCAGGCCAGAGACAGAAGGGCCGCACCCCCAGACAAATACACTTCCCAGGAGCCACCGGGGCCTCAGCGTGCTTGGTAAGAACACACACTATATAAAAATTGTTAATATTCAATATATACCACTCACAAAAGATGAGTACAAGTCACATTTGACTTTTGCAAGTATAAGAGGTGCTCAAAGTGGTTACCATCAGCATAATTTTAATACAGTTTTTCCTTCCTTAAAATGTATATACATTTTCTTGGCACCCTCTGTATACACACTATGACTCCCAGAGAGCCTCAGGCGTATAGTGCCAGAGAAGAACTACATTTCCCACAACCCACAGCGGCCTCACTGCGCTTGGGAAGAAGGCTGCCCCTCAGACACTACAAGTCCCAGAAAGGCACGCTCGCATGGTGCCAGAGAAGGTGGGCATCAGACTACACTTCCCACAACCGACAGCGGCCTCACTGCGCTTGGGGAGAAGGCTGCCCCTCAGACACTAGGACTCCCAGAGAGCCCCGCTCTCACAGCACCAGAGAAGGGGGGCCTCAGACAGCTACACTTGCAACGATCCACCGGAGCCTCACCGCGCACGGGAGGAAAACTCCGCCTTACATACTACAACTCCCAAAGAGCCCCGCGCGTACAGCGCCAGAGGCCTCAGACTACATTTCCCACGGTCCACCGGGGCCTCACGGCGAACGGGAGAAAGGCTCCGGGTCAGACACTACGACTGTTAAATCCCCCTCCTCACGCCCGCAGCGCCGGAGACTGAGACTCCGGGCCTCAGACAACTACAATTACCAGAACTGACTGCGGCCCCAGCACTTCCGTGAAAGACCCCCAGCTTCCGATCATTGTAGTGCCCAGAATCTCCCACCGAGGAGGACTGCGACTCTCAGAGACCCTCCGTGGAGCAGCCCCGGTAGCCAAGGGCTCCAGCTCAGCCGAGCTGTGATGCTCTGTCCCCAAAGCTATGGTGCTGTGTCCCCATTGCTACCACCAGTAGCACAGTAGCAATGACCCTCCAGCGACTTTGCGACCTTGATCCCCAGAGGTGACACACTTCTCACTGCAGAGCACACAGCAAGTGTTTAATTACTTACAAGCTACAGATATGACGTGGGAACTGTGTTCTTGTGTCCAGACCAACAGGGCAGCGCGGCCTTTGAAGGGGCGTTAGACACAACACGGGGCGGGAGGTCTGTTACACAGCAGGGCGGGAGGAGGACGCGACGATTGAGGTGATTCACCCTGGTCCTGGGGACTTCCTTGCCCTACTGTGATGGTAAATGGACAGATACAGCAAGTCGGGTCCACGAAGGGCATGGTGACCCGGGCTCGAGCATGAGGGTCCGCGTCATGCCACCAAGAGAGCCACGGTTGCCAGCAGAGGTGGTGACGGAGAAGAATCCGGATGGGATAACGAGAAAACCACCCCAATGGGCAGGGGCTGTAGTTGGTCCTACCAACCTTCCTTTTCTTAGTCTCTTCCCGCGAGAGACGTAATACTGGGAACGTGGATCTAAAGTGCGAGGGATGGACTGTATTCAGAGACGCATCACCCAACTCCCTCTTCAAAGGCAGACCGCCTCCTGGCAGCTTTTCCGGATTTGGCCTCTGCTGAAGAGAGCTGCTTCACCCAAGGTTACTCTCTTCCCAGGGCAGCCTTCCTCAGGTAAGTGAGCACCTCAGGGCTGTAAGAGCCTGACCGTCTGGGCCCCACGGGGGACACTAACGAGCAGCACCTGCTGCAGAGCTCCCTACTGGCTTGGCCAAGGTTGCAACAGCCTACAGTGCATTCTGACTTCTTGCTCTGATCAGTCCTTTCCTACTTATTCTCCCATCACTTCACTGCCACTGATCCTCTATAAACATCCTGCACCCAAAACTTCATGTTAGCATCTGCTTCCAGAGAACCCACCTTAGGATGCAGCCTGACTCATCCAGTTAGGAATATCTGGGTTTAAGTAACAAACACACTTGAACCAGCTGAAGCAAACATGGGGATTTATTAGAAGGATATCTGTGACATCTCACAGAAAAATCCAACAATCAAGGCATGGAAAGGGCAGCGGTGAATATGCCCAAGACAAGAACCAGATGTGGGGACCCAGTCAGGACTGTTCCTGGACTTTTCTTCCATAATGGCTTCATTCTTCTCTCTCACTGCAGCCCATGCTTCTCCAGTCGGTAGAAAACACAGCCACTGATAGCACCCACACTTTTTTATTAAAGCTTCAGTTGCTAAAATTATATAGACAAGATAGCCCCAGCTTTCTAATGGAAAAAGATAAAACATGCAATGAGTATATTGTCACAGTGACACGTATACAGACAGGTCCATCTAGGTTGGATAGGCATTAACAAGAAACAAGGGCATTTCAGTGGCAGATCTGCAAAAAGCATGCGAGAGATCGTAGAAATAGTTCAAGGCAGCCCAAAAAAAAATAGTGTGTAGGAGGAAAGATAAAGTTCAGAAATGATGGGGTAGGCATGTATTTGTATAAGAGCCCTCACATACCATGAGTATATTACACTTTAAGTTCACAATGAGCCACACAAGATTTCAATACAGGTGTAATCAGAATTGTATCTTAAAATAACTACTACGTTGAGTGTGAAAATAGACTAAAAAAGAATGAAGGTGCAAGACATATGCATCCAGCTGTAAGGGTCATGAGTTAGTTTACCAGCACAGGCTCGGTACTGAACATCTGAAAGCTATTGGCACCATATTTGTAGGCTAACAAGCCCACTGACATTGGCAACGTGGGCATACATTGCTGGAATAAATGACAAAATGACTGAAGTCTCAAGTGTAGATAAGAACCGACTATTGATCTATATTGTGCTGTTTAATACAGGTTGTCAGGTTAATCTGGTATCCGTTGGGTTTATCTCAGGGTTTCACGAGTGATGTTCTTGAGACCAAAATATCAGGAACATATGGATCCATACAGAAGTAACAGTGTCAGAAGATATCAAAGTCCCCACACACAACAAGCTAAAGAGAAGGCATTCCTGGATAGGCCTCAATATTTACAGACTGGACCCCCAAAACATCCATTATTTATGAAAAAGAGTATCGTAGAAATTGTCCTCTGCAGCACTACGTCCAGGCCAATGGGAGAACCTGGGTGGTGAAAGAGAGAAGGAAGGTGGCACTTCCTACATGTGGTCTCAGGTATTCTATCTCCATGTAACTTACTGCTCCATGAAACTAGGTAAGTCCACTCTGAAACTGCCTTACTTCTTGAGGTGGGGTTTGTGGTACAAATCAATGAGTGGAAATGTAGGGATGCCCTTTTTTGTGGGTTACTAAGTAATTTAAAAAACTGAAACTCTCTAATTTCAGAATCAGCACTCTTGTGAAAACTGAGAATAACACAGGCTCTCAGTGAGCTCAACACAACAGACCTGGGTCTCTGCATCAGGTATTCTAGTAAAACTATAGGGTTGTTGGAAAAGTCATGACGTATTTTTTCTGTTTTTCGTTGCAAAACTGCGTCATGACTTTTCTGACAACCCAATAGGTGGCTAATACCTGACCCTTACAAAAAAAAAAAAAGCTCTTGGGTATTCAACCAATAGGCCATTGCCGAAGTTCCAACAATATCTAGTGAAGGAAGTACCAGTTTTAACTGCTTAACATTTAATAAAATAATCTAGAATTGGAATAAGCAAAATTGGGAATTTTTTAGACAACAGACTCTTGAGCTCTATTCAAGACCTAATGAGTCAATCTCTGGGACTAGGGATGACAATTATGATGGAAAGAAAAAAATGGGAAAACCACAAAGTAAAACACCCTGTAACTATCTGTTCATTTACAAAGGCCCATTTTCCCATCTGGTAAAATGACCTTCAGGTATTAGGGAGAAGTGTAGGAAGTCCATAAATTTCAGTATAAATAAAAATTTGGCCAATTTGATGTTTTTAAAATTACCATGTGGAAAGACATAATTATCTGGCTGTTGAAATTCAGATACAGTGGTATAGAAAATTACTCTCATTTACAGTAAAATTTTTCAACATTGATGTAAAATTGGAAATCAAAGAAAAAAAGCCTTCTGGAATCAAAGGTCCAATCCACCTTCCTGACAAAACAACTTGTATATGAGAAGTCTTGATTTTTCCAAGTTTGGAAACAAGGTCAGTGTTGGATTTCTCTGAATTTCACCTGCATACACAAAATACTGTTGACTTTGTCAAGCAACACTGTAGAGAGATCACTACAAAATTCTAACTAAGTTGAGGGGCGGTTCATGAATTTTCAAAGGGCACCATACTTAGATAACAGTAAATTCAAAATGGGAAGTTTGCCATGTGAATGATGCAACTGGTAATGGAAGGTGAAACACAAACACTCCAAAGGATGAAATAATGAAAATCTCTTTCCCTAAACCTGTCCAGTGATCACAGAAATTTGCAGGAAGGCAAAACAAGCTTCCTTGACTACATCAAAAATATATTTCTCACCACAAAATTCTCTGTATTTTACATTTTCTGAAGTGACTCTTAATTCTTTACTTTATCTAATTTTTACAACGTATTTTATGAAACACCAAAAACGTAATAGCAGCACACAGAATCCATATTTCACCATAGTAAATTAAAGTACAAATTGTACTTTGGTTACATCGCACTTCAGATATATAGACTTGACACATGGAGGCGTCTCCCTGAATGAGAAGATTCTGCACAACACTACTGCCAGTTAGGTGGAGTGCTGAGTCAGGGTTCTCACACCTCCTTTCTTTTGCTCGTTAGTATATCATGAATCACTATTGCTATTCTGTGGTTCGTGCCTTTGAATATTTCTTAACCGGTTTTCTATAAACTGTCTCTTGGACTCTGAGAAGACTTTATACAACATTGGCTTTTGTTACTGAGGAGAAATCTCAGTAATAAGAGACCCCTTTTCTATGCCAGCAAACCACAGGGAAAAGAGATGTGGTGTTATTACTTAAGCTACTGATTTAGCAATAAGACATGTCATATTAGTTACCATTTTTACAGTATCAGTAAGATAGAAAAACCAGTGGCATGTGGTGTATTCACAGACATCAGAGGCACGACAAGGCATGGGCATCTCATGTTCCCTATTACATTATCATATGGAATCCCTAAATACAAAACTTATTATGTGACAAAGGAAAGTTAGCTATAAATACCACTAAGAAATTTCTTATTTAGATGTTTCAATGATTCAATTTATTCACCTATATTTAAAACTTCATACTTCCAAGTGAACACCTGTCAACCACTTAGAATTAGGTATTTTGGGGATGCATGTATATAAAAAGTATATGGCTTTCCTTCACAGCATTATATCTAGGGGCATATATTTCCAGTGTCTTTAAGTTGTTAAGTTTACCCACAACATAAATTCTCTAAAACAAAGTATGCTTGGATTACCTAGTAAAGATTATCCCATATTTAGTAAGTTCATAGAATTTCATTCCTGAGGACATTTTTTTATGTACAGTAAGCTGTCATTTCTTGATGAAAATATTACCTCAACTGCCACATTCATGGGGTTTTCATTCACTTACTGGACTTGGGTTTATGCCTACTGGGAATTCTCCAACAGCTAATGCGACTTGACCTCCAGGGACTTTTTGGTATTCACAGTATTCCTCTGCTGTTAATTTTTCTACTGTATAAGGTCTGACTATGGTTTGAAAGGTTTTTGGACCCACTGTATTTCATAGGCTCATTCTAATATGAATTCATAATATAAACATGTGAATCTGGGGAAAGCTTTCCCTACACAACCTCTTTAGAGTTCCTACTCTGAGTAGTCAGACATATAATGTGATGTGTCTCTTATCTGAAAGATTTACCAGAACTGCATTTTCTGAAGTACAGTGAGGCAAGATCTATGTCAAAGACTAATAGTAACTCCATTTCTAGGATTTCTTTACTGTATGAGTTCTCTGATGATTAATGAGCTGTGACTTTTGGGAGAAGGCTTTCCCACATTCATTGCATTGATAAGGCTTCTCCCCTGTATGAATTCTCTGGTGATTAACAAGCTGTGACTTCTGAGAGAAAGCCTTCTTACATTCACTGCACCCATAGGGTTTCTCTCCTGTATGTGTCCTCTGATGTGGTATGAGGTGCGATTTCCGCGAGAAGGCTTTGCCACATTCACCGCATTCAAAGGGTTTCTCTCCTGTGTGTATTCTCTGATGATTGATGAGACTTGACTTCTCCCTGAAAGCCTTTCTACATTCACTGCATTCATAAGGTTTTTCTCCTGTATGAGTTCTCTGATGTCTTATTAGCTCTGACTTCTCAAAGAAAGCTTTCCTACAAAGACCGCATTCAAAGGGTTTCTCTCCTGTGTGAATCCTCTGGTGAGTATTGAGCTGTGATTTCTGAGAGAAGGCTCTCTCACACTCGCTGCATTCGTAGGGTTTTTCTCCCGTATGCGTTCTCTGATGAGTTGCAAGACTTGACTTTTCTCCAAAGGCTTTCCCACATTCGGTGCATTCATAGGGTTTCTCACCTGTATGTGTCCTCTGATGTGATATGAGATGTGACTTCTGACAAAAGGCTTTCCCACATTCACTGCACACATAGGGCTTCTCTCCTGTATGAATTCTCTGATGATTAGTGAGGCTTAATTTCTCACTAAAAGCTTTCCCACATTCACTGCAGTCATAGGGTTTTTCTCCTGTGTGAGTTCTCTGATGTCTAACAAGCTGGGATTTCCTGCTAAAGGCCTTCCCACATTTACTGCACACAAAGGGTTTCTCTCCTGTGTGTGTCATCTGATGTGATATGAGATGGGACTTCTGGGAGAAGGCTTTTCCACACTGAATGCACCCATGGGGTTTCTCTCCTGTATGGGTTCTCTGATGGTTAATGAGACTTGATCTTTCTCTGAATGCTTTCCGACACTCACTACATTCATAGGGCTTCTCTCCAGTATGAATGGTCTGATGTCTAATGAGCTCTGATTTCTCAAAGAAGGCTTTTCTACAGTCACTACATCCATAGGGCTTTGTTCCTGTGTGAGTCCTGTGATGTGTAACAAGTTGTGACTTCCTGCTAAAAGCTTTCCCACATTCTCTACATTCAAAAGGTTTCTCCCCTGTGTGAATTCTCTGATGATTGATGAGATTTGACTTTTCACTAAAGGCCCTCCCACAGTCAGTGCACCCATAGGGTTTTTCTCCTGTGTGTGTCCTCCAATGTGATATAAGATGTGACTTCCGGGAGAAGGCTTTCCCACATTCACCACATTCATACGGTTTCTCTCCTGTATGTGTCCTCTGATGGGATGTGAGCTGTGACTTTTGGGAAAAGGCTTTCCCACACTGGATACAATCATAAGGCTTCTCTCCTGTATGAGTTCTGTGATGTGTAATAAACTGTGACTTTTGGGGAAAGGTTTTACCACATTTACCACAGCCATAGGCTATCTCTCTCACATGTCTGCTCTGATGTTTAATGAGACTCGATTTCTTACTGAAGCGTTTCCTACATTCACTGCATTCATAAAGTTTCTCCCCTAAACGAGTCCTGTGATATATGATAATCTGTGACTTCTTATAGTTAACTTTATCACATTCATAGTATTTTAACCAACTATCAGTTTCCTCGGGCTTGGTATGTAGAAACAATTTATCAAATATATTTAAGTCATCTGGTTCTGTTTTTCCATAATTTGCTTTTGGAATAAGTAAATCTAAATGATGTTTTAAAATTAATCCATCTACATCACCTTCGTTGTTTGATTTCCTTAAAGGAACAAAGTTTATGTTCAGATTGAAATTTTTTCCAAATGCATCATATTCATGATCTTGTTTTGAATTTTTAAGCTTCTCTTGGTTATCCTGCTGCCATGTCATGTGACCATTTACTTGTAAGACTTGTTCTATAAAGAAAAAAACACCTGTGAATTCTTCTATGGTTGTGCTTACTGAATAGAAAACTAAAAGGGATGAATGCTTTTTACGACTTAGTTTCCTAATCTGAGAAAAGTCCCAAGTACAATGTCTATACTCTAGGTATTGAAAAATAAAAGAAGTGCTGTAAACAGGAACAGGAAAAACAATAGATTAAGTTACTTTTGGTTGTTGTTAAATGTAAGTTTATAAAATGTGGAGTGAATGTGAAAAATACATGAAGAGCAATGAGGAATAAAGAAAGGAGGTTCAAAGCAGCATTGATTCAATGTTCTCAGGACTTAATTTACCCAATACCTACTAAATGCACGCTGTGTTCCAGGCAGTGTGTGAGGTCCTGCAGACACAAGAGAACCACCTCCTGCCATTAGGAAACATATTCTAATGGAAAAGTGAATACATAGATAATATTTTTTAAAACACAACTGTACATTGTGATAGTACTATGATGAAAATTAACTGGTCTGATAAGGTAATTAGCTAGCCATTTCAAGCTTGAAGAATGAGAAGTATTTTGTGTGTGTTACCATTCTCACTCAAATTGTCTGCAATTTTTATTTAAACTTACCACATACAGTCATCCCCCCTATTGGCAGGTTCTGCATCTGCACATTCAACAAACCGCAGATTGAAAATATTTTAAATGAATGTTCTGTTGTTGCTGATGTGTCCTATGTAGTTAGACTTACACTGGTTGTGCCTATACTGAACATGTACCGACTTTTTCCTTGTCATTATTCCCTAAACAAGACAATATAACGACTATTCGCAAAGCACTTATATTGTATTAGATAAGTAACCTAGAGATGATTTAAAGCAGATGGGAGGATGTGTGGAGGTTATATGTAGATATGTCATTTTATATGGGGATGTGAACATCTAGATTTTGGTATCCCAGAGGCATCCTGGAACCAACCCCCATGGACACTTACTGTACATTTCCAACCTTATTACTAAGAAAGCCACTCCATACAACACATTACAAAGCACATCATCTTCTAGGGCTGTTCAGGCACGACAGTTTAAAATCCAGGTGTTCTTTCACTGAAACTCTGCCAAGCACAAGTTCCCACTCTTAAAACGTTCTGAGAGCTCTGTCATTTCTTATAGATCTCTATTTTCGTTATCCTCACAACATAACCCGTGTGCCAGTGTTAGAAGTGCTCTACAGGGGCTCATTTTTCACTAACAGTCTACATCTGGCATTTTTTCTGAGATCATACCTACAGGTATGAAAGACAATCAGTACAGTGAAAATCTTTTTAAGGATTTAAATGTCAATCGAGGGTAATAAATTTGTGAAAAGCCCACAGCTCATTGTTGGCCAAATGTATTCTGGAGGTAGAACCAACAAGATTCGCTGACGGATTTGATATGGAGGGGATAAAGGAAAGCAAGAAATCAGAAATGATCTCTAGGACAGAGGTTTGAGCAATTCAGTGGTTTATGGTGTTAATTACTGAGCTGGGAAGATTGAGGGGAAAAGAGGTCTGGAGAGTAACATCAAGCATATACTATACATATATTAATTTTGAGATGTAGGTCCCAAGTTTGAATACAGTGGTACCAGAAAATGTGAGAGTATAAAATGGAGTATTTGTAAATTAACCTTACAATTTTACATTACTTTAAATGTTACATCATAAGCTAAGCTCACATTTGGAAATTTAATCTACCTTCCCCCCAAGTTTTTGTTTAATTTTTTCCAATTAGAAAAATGGTATTACTTTGTATTTGGTAATATCCCAATTACCCCAAAACTCTCTACCACTTTACTGCAGCGTAGTCCATCTTATTATCTCAATGAAATATCCTTCGAATTGATTTCCCTGCTTCTGACTACATTTTGCATTCTGTGGTCAGAATGAACTTTTAAAAATGTAAATCAGGCAGTTTTACTTTTATCTAAAATTATTTGAATTAAAACTTCCCATTTTATGTATGACCTAGTTCCTGTACTCTTTCCAACCTCTATCTCCCTGCCACACTGACCTCCAGATACACAGGCTTTCTTCTTTTAAATTGTCAATTACAATGGGTATTTGATATTATATTAGTTTCAGGTGTACAGCATAGTGCTTAGACATTTATGTAATTTACAAAGTGACGCCCCGGTTAGTCCTGTACTCACAGGGCACGGCACATAGTTACTACAATATCATTGACTATATTTGTTATGCTGTACTTCACATTCCTGTGACTATTTTCTAACTTCCTTTTTGTTTCTTGAAGTCACTAGGCCGCTTAACAAATTCATATTTGTCATCCCTTTTGGGGACAGTTTCCCCTGATCACTCATATAGCTTGCTCATTTCAGTCTTCATTTCGAGAATTGGCTTCTCCATGTTACTGTGTTACAGACTGAACACTTATGTTCCCCCAAGAACTTATGTTGAAGCTCTAGCCCCAATTATGGCTATATCTGGATACCAGATTTCAAAGGAATTAAGGTTAAATTAAGTTATGAGTGGGGCACTGATCCAACAAGATTTATGTCCTTATAGGAAGAGACACCACAGAGCATCCCCACAATCTGTCCACAGCATGAATGAGGAAAGGCCTTGTGAGGACAAAGCTTCAACACTACCCAGCAACGTCTACGAGCCAGGAAGTCAGCCCTCATTAGAACCCAATCATGCTGGCACCTTGATCTTGAGCTTCCAGCCTCCAGAACAGAACTGTACTGTTGAAACTACCCAGTCTATGGTATCTTGTTATGGCAGCCTGAGCAGACTAATACACTATCGTATCATCACCTGATTTCTAGAACAGTACTTTCAGAGCCTGGACTTAATCTCGGTTATTTACTAATTTGTTCATTTTATCCTCCCAGTAGAAAGTAAGCACTGAGTGGGGAGGGAATATCTCTCTACTGCTCACTATTGTACCCTAGCACCCACCACAATACCTGAGAAACAGAAGAAATCAATATACATTCAATTTCCTCTGACCTGCGAAAGCAGTCTGCAGAAAAGAATGAGCATTGAGCCTGAGGCTGCTTTGCATGGACCAGCCTGCTGGCAGGGCTGGCCCTTGGGAACCTGGGTTTCACGAGTGTTCCCACCACCCCCTACCAGAAGAAAGTACTCCCTGGGCCTAGACTGTGTCCAAACAATTCAGTCTGTGCTGAGCACCGGCCTTCCTTCTGGGAGCCTGACATGCTGGTGCGTGCCAGGCAGAAGTGCCTGTGTGACCAGCCCCAGTGAAAGCCTGGTGCTGGGTCTCTTCCTGGCCAGAAACATCCCACCTGACAGCACTTTTGTTGCTGGGGGAACGTGAGCTGCGTGACCGTCATGGAGGGTGAGCGCCAAGCCTGCACCAAGATTCCTTGGGACTCAGCAGTGCCTGTTCTCTTGAGATGCAGCTGTGTCCCAGGTTGTCACTAATCCTGCCCATAAGTAAAGCTACATTCTGGTCACTGTCTGAATGTGCTGGTGGCTTGAGGACACACCACAGCCCTTGTCTATGTAATTTTGACAAGTAACTGCACTGCAATAAAACAAAAATGTTCAATACATTTCAATGTGGAATAAAAAACATGGATGCAAATATTTCATCTTCTTAGTTAAATCCTATGCTTCTGGAAGGTATTTTCTAGGTCTTTCACTTTTCAATCGTTTTTAGTAGTCATTAAAGCAGTGGGTCTCAAACAATGTGGGGCACTAAACAATCACTGGAAACTTCTCAAAGTATTAGGTTGGTGCAAATGTAATTGCCGTTTTTGCATTGTTGAAATTTGCCTTTGATATTGGAATACATTCTTAAATAAATGTAGTTATGTTATACATCATTTTAATGTGCATTTCTCGCTTTTGTTTTTTTGCTAATGACTTATTACTTGCTGTTTATTTTATATGTATTGTAGACTATGGAAATGATGTTAGACAAAAAGCAAATTCGAGCGATTTTCTTATTCAAGTTCCAAATGGGTCATAAAGCAGCAGATACAACTTTCAACATCAACAACGCATTTGGCCCAGGAACTGCTAATGAACGTACAGTGCAGTGGTGGTTCAAGAAGTTTTGCAATGGAGAAGAGAGCCTTGAAGATGAGGAGCGTAGTGGCCGGCCATCGGAAGTTGACAACGACCAATTGAGAGCAATCATCAAAGCTGATCCTCTAACAACTACACGAGAAGTTGCCGAAGAATTAAACATCGACCATTCTATGGTCATTCGACATTTGAAGCAAATTAGAAAGGTGAAAAAGCTCGATAAGTGGGTGCCTCATGAGTTGACAGCAAATAAAAAAAATCGTTGTTATGAAGTGTTGTCTTCTCTTATTCTAAACAACAATGATGAACCTTTTCTCTATCGGATTGTGATGTGTGATGAAAAGTGGATAGTACACGACAAACAGCGATGACCAGCTCAGTGGTTGGACCTAGAAGCAGCTCTAGAGCACTTCCCAAAGCCAAACTTGCACCAAAAAAAGGTAACGGTCACTGTTTGGTGGTCTGCTGCCAGTCTGATCTATTATAGCTTTCTGAATCTAGGTGAAACCATTAAATCTGAGAAGTATACTCAGCAAATCGATGAGATACACTGAAAACTGCAACGCCTGCAGCTGGCACTGGTGAGCAGAAAGGGCCCAATTCTTTTCCACGAGAACTCCCGACTGCATGTTGCACAACGAAGGCTTCAAAAGTTGAACAAATTGGGCTACGAAGTTTTGCCTCATCCACCATATTCACCTGACCTCTCGCCAACCGACTGCCACTTCTTCAAGCATCTCAACAAGTTTTTGCAGGGAAAACACTTCTACAACCAGCAGGATGCAGAAAATGCTTTCCAAGAGTTCACTGAATCCCAAAGCATGGATTTTTATGCTACAGGAATAAACAAACTTATTTCTTGTTGGCAAAAATGTGTTGTTAATGGTTCCTATTTTGATTAATAAAGATATGTTTGAGCCTAGTTTTAATGATTTAAAATTCATGATCCAAAACCGCAATTATTTTTGCACCAACCTAATACAAATTCCAGTTGTAGAATACCAAATTTTAAAACTGCTCTACGGAATCAGCATCTGGTAATGGACCCATGATGCTCATCACTGGGGGAAAAAAAAAAATCCCAGGTAATCATGGACACTGGTTTGAAACACCTGTATTTCTGGAGAGAGATTGAATCAATATTATGTGCCCCATAACTGAAGATATTACATTATAAGCCCTGTGTCTCTGTGCAAACAAGGCTCACGGATCAACCAACTAAAAAAGTATTACATACACTGTGATCAGGTCTGCAGTGGGAATTCAGAAAAAATGAGAAACATTTAGGCTGGCACAGTCAAGGAATGCTTTATGAATATGAATGCACTGCAAACAGCTTATGCAGCAGAGACTAACAGCTTCTAGATAAAGGAAGCATCGCACAATCCAAAGTTCAGATGCAGAGAATAAATATTACATGTCTGAAAACATTGAGAAATGTTTAAATGGAGCTGACCATGAGTTTTGGGGAAAAGGGGGAAACAGCTGAACAGGCTACATGGGCTTACACCGTGGAGGTCCCTGAAGGAGAGGGGACATCCTTGTTGCGGATACTCATGGCTGCCACCAACCCTCGGCTGCACTGAGGACACCCTTGGCCTGTCTGGGTCGGGGGGACTCCCCCAGGTGCCCACCTCTCTCCACCTGAGAGCTTTCTTGGGCAGCAAGTGCACACTTGGTCTGTGGACAGGGACAATGGACGTTGTGGGGACAGTGTGCCCAGAGCAAGGCTCAGGGAGGTGGGAGCTGGAGGGTGAGTGCACTCCTGGTGCTTCAGAGGCCCCGGCGGCACCCGCCTCCCGCAGCCGCCGCCACATGTCACACAACCTGCGATGCACCACTCATCCCGCCCCATCTCACTTCTCTGGCCCCACACCCTGTGGGGGTCACACCCAATCAATTCCAGCTCTCAGGTAAGTACTCAAGGTCTGCTTTCCAGGGAACATAAATCAGTGTCACATAGCAGGTGAGAAGGAGGGTCTATGTGGCCAAAAGGGTGGTGAGCACTGTAGGTGGGTGGCACCATTTAGGGAACCCTACAAAGGGTTAGTCTTGGATCTGTGTGGCAATTTGGGAAATTCAGGGGTGAAACAGCATGGGCTTTGTTTTAAGGGGGAGTCGAGAAGGGAAGGCTTTAGAAAGATATTTTCCATGGCCGGCTGAGTGGCACGTTGATGAACAGTGGGCTTGGGATGCCAGCTCTGAGCAGCAGGGACAGGTTCGGATCCCACATGAGGGCCAGTGACACTGCACCCTCTACAGCTAAGATGGTGAACAACAGCTCGACCTGGAGCTGGGCTGCTATGAGTCACTGGCGACGGCATAGGGCTGCCTAACCTACCGTGAGTGGCTGGCAGCCGGCGTGAGCAGTCAAGAGCCGCCATGAGCGGCTGTCCAATGGCTGTTGAGTGACTGCCTCACTCAGGAAGAGCACGAGAATACCAACCTGGGCTAGTGAAGCTACGTCCTCTATTAGACTGAAGAACAAAAGGACAGCAACTTGTCTGTTCCCCTTTCCCGATTTCCCAACGCTGCTCCCCTCCCTGAATTCCCCAATAAAATCTTTAAAAAAAAAGATATTTTCCAAAGGGCAAAAACCTAATAGTAAGAAAGAATGGTAGAAAGAGACCATTCAATGTGCTCCATGGCATCTAACGTATAGGAAAAGCACAACAGAACCTAATGTTAAAAGTGGGGAAAAGGGCAAACTGTCTGGGAGGAACGTGACTCCGTTTTCTTTTTTTAATTGGGGAATTGGGGGAAGGGGAACAGACAAGTTGCTGTCCTTTTGTTCTTCAGTCTAGTTGTGAAGGACGTTGCTTCACTGGCCCAAGTTGGGACCATCATTGCACTCCTCCCGGGAGAGGCAGATCAGTTGCCGGCTTCTGGACGGCAACTCACTGCAACTGCTGGCCGCTCACGCTGGCTGCTGGCTACACATGGTAGCCCATGGCAACCCACTGCAGCAGGGGCTGCAGCCTCCTACTCCACCGGTGACTAACGGCAGCCCAGCTCCAGGTTGAGCTGTTGTTCAGCATCTTAGCTGTAGAGGGCAGTGTCACTGGTCCTCATATGTGGGATCCGAACCGGGACCCTCTAGCGTCCCAAGCCAGGTCTTAACCAACGTGCCACTCGGCCGGCCCTCCGTTTTCTGATATAATGAGACTGAACCCAGTGGGCTTCACAGTGTGCTTCTCTGGGATCACACACCCAAAATGAGGGAAAAACTCAAAATTATTGAATGTACAAGCAGAGGTGTCTTTGCCCAGAGGAGAAGGGAGGAGAAAAGGAGATTAAACACAGCAGGGGCACAGCCCCATAGGGGACAAATGGGGGACAGCATGCCCAGACAAGCTGGGAACATTTTACTTCCAGCTACATGCAAGAAGCGACATGGAACTGTGATTTACGTGAGCAACTCATGTCAACGGTTTAGAGACTCTGAAAGGCACTCTCCACAGCACGTTTCAAAGGAGCCAACACTGGGCAGCCAAGACTGCACCCCCGCCCTGTCCCCACAGCCTGCTTCTCATGCACTCACCCAGGGAGCCTGAACTGGGCGGCGCTCCACCTCCTGTCCACGGCTCTTGTCCTTGCTCCAACTTGAAGATGACGTCCGGTTTCATCACTTCATACCCTGTTCGAGGGAAACCACACATGCTTGGCCCTGCATGCGTGGGCTTTAGGGCCCCTGAAGAATGGGCAAGGTCTGGCATCAGAGCTGACCCAGCTGTCCCCATCTGTGCATCAAGTAAGTAATTCTGTGAGATGGTGACAGTCTCCCTGGTGGCTCAGAGGTCTAAGCATCTTTGACTTCTGTAATTCCAGTGCCAAACCATCCAACACTTCAGAGGCTCTGCACTCAAACCCAGAGTCCTTCATTTACTAGCCATCAGTCCTCGGGAACGTTACTTAACCTCCTTGTTAGAAAACAAAGGAGAGTAATTATACCTGCCACACAGGATTAGCCCATGACTATGAACGGAATGTGGCATCCAGGAAGTTACGTGTTGGAGGTGCCACCACCCCACTGGCACCAACACTCTAAAAGCGAGGTGCTGGGCACAGGTGAGGCCCCTGGGCTGCGTTCTTACCCAGCGACAGCAGGCTGCTGTAGTTCTCCAACATGACGTCCTTGTACAAGTCCTTCTGACAGGCGTCTAGCAGCTGCCACTCCTTCTGGGTGAAGTCAACGGATAAATCTTCAAATGACACTGACTCCTGTGAGAGCACAATCCCAGTGAGTCTGCAGCAGTCTGTCAGGGCGTGGGGCCGCACAGACCACGAGCTGGAGCGCCTGCTCTCATCCCAGCGAGTAGCGCATGCCACCACGTCGCTGCCTCTGTAGCGTTCTGTGGGATGAAAGGCCACACGCACCCTTCTACCCTCCGTGCACACAGTACAAAGGAACCGGACCACCAACAAAATATTTACTAGACCTCAAATTTGGCACAAGAAGAAGTGGTAGCAAAATAAAGATACAACAATATCCTAAAAAACTGCTTAGTCTTGTAGAGGCTACACACACGTACAGCTATAAATAAAATAGGCTGTTAAAGTAGCTACAACAGAACGGGGGGAGGGCAGCGTGGATCACAGCAGGGACAGCCTCACTCTCCTTAGTATCACGTTAGGCTCTGTGCAAGAGGCAAAGCCTGAGATGAGCTTCAGGAAAGTAGTGTTTTCCACAAAAAAAGGGGGTGCAAAAGCATTCTGGGAGACGGCAGCTCTGATATGGGCTTCAAAACTGCAAGGATAGAGGAAATACACAGTTCAGTCAGACAGATCTCAAGTGCGGGTAATAACGGGGACTAGCCAGGAAAGATTTCACAGGGCGGGAGTGATATCAGCAAATTTAGGTTTTAAAAGGTTTCTGGATTTTAGATCAAGATGGATTTCTGTCCCAAAATCTCCTGGGATGACAAGAAAACACACTCTTTTAAAAATTCAGAATACCACTGGAAAATAAGAAAGCTGACCCTAAACAGCACACCACACACTGAGAGACAGCGAACCTGAAGACAGTCAGCAGAAAGTATTCATATTGGGCAACTGAGAGACTTAAAAATGGACAAAGCTCAGGACACTGTGGACAACACCAAATGCACGTCAGACGTCAGAGGAGTCCCAGAAAGAGACCAGAAAGCACGGTGGGAAAAAAGGTTTCTAGAAACTTCGGCCTGAATGCTCCCCAAATATGGTGAAAGCACAAGCCTACAGATTCAAAAAGCCCAGTGACCTCTAATTGGGTGAACATAAAGAAATGACCAAGAACATCATAATAAAACTGTTACAGAATAAAGGCAAAGAAAAAAGTCACATCACTAACAGGGAACAGTGATACAAACGACTGCAAATTTCTTATTAAGAAGCACACAAGCCAGAGGAAACAGAACATTTTTTTAAATGCTGAAAGGAAAGACCTGTTAACCCAGAATTTTGTAGCCAGCTTACATATGCATCACAAAAAACTGTGAAATAAAGACATTTGCTAATGAGGGAAATGAAGAGAATTCAAGGGCAGCATATGTGCTCCAAAGCATTAAGTGGAAGAGCTTCAGATGGAAATGATACCAGAAGGCAACTTAGACAATAGAGAAGAAAGAAGAAAAACGGCAAATATTTGCACAAATATACTTCTTCTACACTATTCTTCTTCATACTTTAAAGAACGTTTGATGGTTAAAAGCAAAAATCGTATCATTTTTTTATGGAGTTTTCAATATGTGTGTGTGACATATAAGACAGCTGTAATGTAAAGGAGAGAGGGTGAAGGGACCAAAATAGGGAAAGGTTCTACATTCCTACTCAAGGGGCAAAACTACATTTAAAACTTTTGAACTTCAAGCAACATGATTAAAAAATGAAATGACAAGCCACAGACTAGAAAAAATTATTGACAAATCATAGTTCTGATAAAGAACTTGACCCAGAACTTAAAAATAAAAACCTCTTAGAACTCAATAATACAAAGACAAGCAACCCAATTAAAAAAGACAGAATAATTAAATACGTTTTATCAAAGAAGACATAGGGATGGCTAATAAGTACATGAACTGATGACCAACATAATTATTAGGGCAATGCAAATTAAAACCACAGTGATATACCACTTCACATTCATCAGAATAACTATAATCAAAAGAGACACACAAAAAGAGTTTAGAATTCTCATAGCAAAAAAAAAAAAAGAGACACACAATAACAAGTGGTGGAAAGGATGTGAAGAAACTGGAACTTCATACTGGTAGGACTATAAACCAGTTAAGGTGCTACGAACTGCAGCAGTTTGTTAAAAGTTAAATATAATTTCAGCATACAACCCAGCAACGGCTCTTAGGTATGCACTCACGAGAAATGAAAAGTCCATACAAAAACTTGTACGTGACTACTCACAACACCATTACTTATAACCACCAAAAGGTATAAATAACCCTAATGTGCATCAGGTGATGAATGGATAAACAAGAAGTCGTGTGTCCACAGGATGGACCGATCTCTGATACATGCTACAACATGAGTGGACCTCATAAACATTATGCTAATCAAAGGAAGCTTTCTGACACCAGCATCACCTTGGAAACAAGGCCCAAAAGGATACTGCAAGGAAAAGCAAAACTAACTTACACATGAACGCTGATGGGAGAATCCTAAACTACACTGAACAACAAATAATGAAGAAAATATGTTAAGACTAAGTTGGGGTTTATCCCTAAAATTTAAGGTTGTTTTACCATTATTTGAAAAAAAATCAATGACATTCACTACCTTAATAGATTAAGAAAAAATATAGAACCACCTCAATAGACGCAAATAAAGCATATCTGAAAATGGAAGAATCCACATCAGAAGAACTGCAAAAGAATAGTAACATCTAACAGAGTTTTAAAAAGAATGTTTAAAATTTTCAAAAATAAGGAGATTTCATAAGAAATAATATAAAAGTATGAAAATGAATGAGCATATGAACAAAAGAACAAGATTAATGCACCAAAAATTGAAAAACAATTGTCATTAATTTGTCATAAAAAGTCTTGGCAAAATAGGAATTCAGTAGAATTTCTTTTTATGAAAAAAATATTGCTGATATTTTTGTGAACATAGAAAAATCTTATCAAATCAAAAGAAAAGTTATTAGAACTAATAAGTGCGCTTAAGGAGATCCTAGATACAAAGTCAATATGCACAAATCTATATCTTCCATGTTTTGGCAAGAAAAATGTTTTAAATTAATAAATTTCAAGATACTATTTACTCTAGAAATGGATAATTGCAGGTCTGGGGCAAAAAATTACAAACTGAGCCCTGATATATCTGGCCAAGCTAGAAAGCAGTGTTCTAGTTAATAAATAAAGAAGAAATGGCTGAAGTAGGATGTTATCCTTTTGCAACCCCTCGTGAAATGGCCAACCTGGCAATGACCATCTAGAAAGCACGACAGAGCACCGTTCAGGCATCGTGCACCTCCTGTTAAGTGCATCCCGCAACCTGAAGCATTCATGCCAAAACTCAGACTTGAATCTGATCAAGCCTCTCAATCAGATCTGCCTAGCTGTGATGGAAATATTCTTTATCTGTGCCATCTAGGTCACGGCTGTCCAGTGTACGGCTGCAGAGCACTTGAACTGAGCTAGTGTGCCTGAGGGACTTATTTAAATTTAAGCAGTCAGGACGCAGCCAGTGGCTTCCGGATGGGACAGCACAGTTCTAAATCTACCAGTACATAGGGGACACAGGTGACAGAACCCATTAACACACTCTGGGGTGCAAACAGCAAATCCAGACATAGGAAACGCTACAGAATGAATGACTGGCTCCTTCAACAAAGAATACGGCTGAAAGTGTAAGAAGAGACAATAGGTTTAGAGATGTGGGAGACAGACCAATGAACTGCACCGTATGAACGTTACTTGGATTCCGACTCAAACAAACTGCAAACGGTTTATGAATTGTAAGACAACTGGGAATTTAGACACTGACTGGATTTGGTGACTGAGACACTACCTTAATTAAAGAGGAGGATGTAACTGCAATGATCTCACAAACCAATGTCAGGTGAGAGAAGCAATACAAAGTGAAAGAACACAAAGGAGTGTCCGCGACAGAACACAGAATCAGCGGCACTGTTCAGGGTGAACCCTTCGAAGTAAAGCCATAAAGCAAGGAAATGGGTCCTGAGGTCAAGGGGAGAAGTATGGGAGAAGGCGCCTGTGGGTGTCTTTTGTCAGGCGGGAGAAGCTGTGACCGGACAGGGAGCCTGAAGGGCTTCGTCTGGGCTGGGAAAGTTGCTTCCCGACCTGCATGGTAGTTTCATAGGTATTTAATTGATAATTCATTAAGCTGTACTTTTACCTTTTATGTACTTTCTGCATGTGATTCTGCTTCACAATTAAATATGTAGGTAAATAAAAGAAATCATTATGGCCACTAAGTTCTGCTGTGGCATTTTCCTGTTGGGTCCACTCTGAGGAAAACCAGGAAAAATGGCCATAAGACCTACATATTTATTATAACGTTTCTCTTGAGGATATTACTCATTATGTCATTTATTTGAAGACTTCATCAAGGAGTGACCAAGAAATATTTACTTTCTATGAAGACTCAATTTGTTTTTTCCTTTGGATAATCCAACTCATATTACAACTGCCAAAAACTTGAGAACTAAGTTTGCAGCTCAAATTCAATGATTATGTAGGACACTGTGGCTTATAAAACTTCAGACCTTAAGGATGTCTTGGTTCTAATTAACACTGCTGCAATTCTGTCGCAATCTGGGTCTACTCTTCTGAAGCTATTTTTCCCTGATTCCTTATCTATTTATATTTTTCTTTTTCACTGCAAGGCTTACACACTTCTTCCAATCTCCTAGAAAAATAATGAGTAAACAATTAACTCACCTGTAACATGGTCATTTTCTGTTCACTGTGGGAGAAGATTAGCGAGTCTGAGAGCTTTCTATCCTGTGTCTCTTCCGCTACTTCCTGAAGCTCTGCTGAGGTCGTGGCGAGGTCTTTGCAGAGACCAGGTCCTGGTTACAGGGACTCCTTTCTTATCTCACACACAATCTGTGGGCTTAGGGACAAATGCTTCAATTGTAATATTTATACTCACCAAAAATCTTTTCCTCTCTTGCTAGGAACTAGGAATTCATGACCACCTGAGGCCAGAGCGTGTCATCTATATAACAGACAGGGCTATTGGGGACAGAAAAAGGATATAGTGCAAAAGAAGAGCAGAAGTCTACTTCTACAAACAGAAAGAAATAACAGAAGTAAGTAATTCTGAGATCTGGTCAATGTTTACTGTGAGCAGTAAAGTGTAAGTCGATTTAACAGGTGCTGTGAAGTACAAGACAACTTATTTTAAGTGGACGGAATTTTGGCAAGGTTATGTGATTTGTGTTAAAACAGAGTTGAGTTTCATTCAACCTTTTCCCTTTACTGACTATGTGACTTTGGGCACAAATAAACTTCATTTTCTGATCCTTAGTTTCCTATTAAACTCTTCTTTAACCTTCATAATTAATGTCTACTAGTTCTATCAATTTCTGAAGAAAGTATGTTAAAATCTCCCGATAGTTACGGATTGGTCAGTTTTCCTTGTAAATAACGATGTTTGGATTTTGTATATGAAGCTATGTTGTTTGATTCATAGAGGTTATGTATTTCTGGAGGACGACTATTTTCTCATTCCATGATGACACTCCATAACCCCCCATAATGCTCCTTTCTTGCCCTCTAAGCCTCCATTTCTTTACTTGCTAAACAACGAGGATAAAGTGGACCACTGGGTGACTTTCATGGTGGGATTCCTAGTAATGAGATATTAGAAAGAAAGTGACCAGTTGCTTGTAATAACAATAGCTAATATTTGAGTGCTGTCTAAACATAAGGCAAAATACTAAGTACTTTATCATTTAACCCTCACAGATGACCCAATAAGGCATTTAACATAATCTCCATTTTACAGAATGAAAAATGAGATTTAGTGTGATTTTGAGTGCGCTTGTGATCGACAGCTATTAAGTAGCAGAATTGGAATGTTATTTCTCTTTCTTGCTATGTTCAAGGCATTTACTACCAAAATCATAATGTCATTTGTGTGTATTTATGCACTCATCCCCACCCCCAGTATCTTGGAGTTAGCTCTTATTTCCAAAAAAACACAAACAAAAAACAGCCTGCCCTCCCCGGTATTGTTAAAAAGCAGCACTTAAAAAAATCAAGCTCTCCCCTTTCATGCCTTTCTGTGATTCAAACGTCAGTGCCAACTCAGAAACACATGTTGAGCTTTCTCACAGTTACACAAGAAGTCATTCCTTGATATCTTAAATTGTGAAAATATATGCATCTTAGAGCAGGAGGGGGCACACATAAGTACTAAACAAATATCAGCCACAGCTATTACCACAAAAGTAAAATATGACAGCGAAATTTAGAAACAGAGACCAACTATTATCTATGGTATCACCACACCATTCTTAAGATATGGTGAAAATTACCGGGATATTTTTAACCGAAATATAAGTATATGGCACATTTAAAAACTGTTTTTGTTTTTTCACACTATGGAAAGAACATCTTTCCAGTTCAATAAACATAGCTCTATAATATCAACAGCTTTCTTATATAAAACAATAAAAAGATAGAAAATAAAATCTACTAATAGAAAAAAATTCATAAAATATACAGGAATATACTTGACAAGAATATGTAAGATCCATATAAAACAAACTGAAAATACCAATGGGGACTAGAAAAAAAGATTTCGTACATGTACAATTTAATCTTGTTCTGGAATAGGAAGACTTGATATAGTAAAGATAATTTAACCCAAAATGATTTATATCTTTAGTCAACTCCAATCATAATTTCAAAAAGTTTTCCTTCAACAAGCAGTTATAAAGTTTATCTGGAAGAAAAAAGTTCAGGAAGAGCTCAGACGCTTTTGGAAATACAAAATAATGAGTGTAAAAGGTCCAGCAAACTACTTCCAGATGAATTAGAATTTAAAATAATAGAAACCACAGTAATGCATGAAGAAAACAAAGGTGAACATTTGGGTAATGTGGCAGAAATTTTCCCTACACATGATGGAAAAGCAAAAGCCATATGTATTTTTTAAAACAGTCAATAAATTCAACCATTAAAAAAATGTAAAAACCTGTGTGGTTAAAAAATCAATTATAAATTTTTTAATGAAAAAGACACACACATACACACACACACCCCAAATTGGGAAAATACACCCAAAATAATATGTCATTTCCTTTGCATTCTGCTTTCACTTCATCTCATTTTATGTAATATATTCTGGCATTGTGATCACTAAAACTACATTTATCATTCAAACCATTTCCTTAAGCACATAGCCAAACGCACAATATGATTTTAAAATTCCCTCTGTGGTTTTGTCAAAGACTTCTTGGTGATGTTTACTTGGGTTTCAGTAAGAACTTACAAAGAGTTCTTATGAGAACTTCTTAAAGAGAACTAATAAAGAGAGACTACGTCAACAGGAAGTAGATTTATTGCAGAGAATATAAAGAATTGAGAATTTCAGGAGAACAGGGAGTGATAAGCCACCAGTATGGGAGTTTTAAAATATTTCTGATATTTGTTACTGAGCACAATGCAGATTCAACCTTATTTTAGTTTTAAAAATGTTTCTGACAGTCTAGAGAGGTGCTTCTAGTGTTACGAGTTACAAATGGTTCATTCTGAAAACCACAACAAAAGTCCATTTATATTTTTTAACAATAAAAATTGTTTTTCAAAGTTGGCCCTTGAGGGAGAAGTTACCCCTGAACTCTTTCTTACACTGGGCGCTCACATGTCACCTCATCCACAAAAGCCCAAGCCCTTCACTGTAGGATCTGGCCCACTTTAACCCGATTGGTATTTTCTTACCTTGGCAGTTTCGTGCATGGCACTGCAGCGCTCCCTGCAACAGCCCTCACATTTATCTTCGGAAGTAAGGGGCAGCCTTCATCACCATCCCCTTGTTCCACTCAGCATCACGTTCTAGAGGAATTTCAGGGGAAAGGCAGAGAGTAATAAACATGGCATTTAAACTTACTACGTGTCAGGGGTTCTATACCCCATATGGTCTTTTCAAATGCATTTGGCACATTGGTCTAGCCACTTGCCCAGCATCGATGGCACACCTAGGAAGTGGCAGATCTGAGCCCCTGGTCCCATGCCTGTGACCCCAAAGCCTGTGAACACAGGCAAAGGGCTCCAGAGTCCCCGTTTATATTCCCAGGACAGGAACAATACAGTTCCTGATCCGGGAAAGATGACACTAAGACAGACTAAGGATAAAAAGAGAAAGGTAAGTTCTGACGTGCCAGTTGAAAATTACCCCAGGAAAATTTAAACTCCCCACTTTGGACAAAATATTCCAAGTTGCAGAAAACGTTCATGATCTATTATAACGGTTTTAAGCAGCATATGCAGCATATTCCCAATTTTGTTTTTCTAGAGGGAATATAAATAAGATGTACTAAAAACATATATACATTCGCTAAAAAAAAAAGTACCAAAATGTTAGCAGTGACTATCTTCTTGTGATGGGATAATGATTTTTATTACAATCTGTTTTTCAAGATGCTCCAAATTGACTAGTGAACATATTTTAAATTTATAATAGAAAAACATATTATTTATTAATGTTAATCCTTAAACCAGGAAAACAACAGTTTCAGTCTAGCATTACATGGGAAACACAAAGTAAACAAATAATTAAAATAAATAAATAAAATGAAGTATGTTTTGATGACAGCAAAAGACATTAAGCTGGGGGGGGGGGGATGGAGATAATTTCTTTCCACTCCCTCATTTTCAGATGCAAAACGTGAGGTCCAGAAATCAAGAGAGATCCGCTCAAAGAGGCAGAGGAGGGTCAAAATGAGAGATAAGGACTTCAGACCCATGTTGTCCCTGTCACACCAGCTACTGTCAAAAGTTGTTTTTTTGCGGGGGGGAGGGGGGTTCGTTTGCTTGCTTGTTTTGTTATTTAGGAGAGAAGCCCTTCAAAACACTCTATTGCTAAAAGTAGCGCTGGGTTGGGTGAAGTCAGGCTGGAAGCCGGATAACAGGCCTAGCAACCAGGTCGCCCTCGCCCCCGACTGACTGTACCTGGTTCTGCGCAGATACACTATGAACGCTTTCTGTTCAGCCATCGGGTCCCAGGCCTTCAACCCGACCTGACCTGGGCTGGCAGCCGAAGACATCCAGGTGAGCCACTCGCGGAAGGCACCGCCTTTTAATAATCGACCTGAAAAAAACGTCCAACGGGTACGAGCCCGGGGGCCAATGAGCGACGCCTCAGGACAAAGGCCCGGGGCTTCCGGAGCCGGCACGCAGACCCGCCCCCCGCAGCATTGCCCCCGCCGGCCTCCGGCCTTCTGCCGCTCGGAGTCCCGTCGGGACCCAGCAGCGCCCCCAGACGCCCCAAACCACCAGCGAACAGTGCGCCCGAGCTCCTGCGCCCTGACCCCAGGCTCCCTGACTCACCCCACTCTCGGGCCAAGGCCCCATCGGTGCCCGCCGCACCGCAGCCCCGCGACCCCCAGACTTCCCCTCCCGTCTAAGCGCTGATGGCCACAGGCCTCGAAGCCCGCAGCCCAATACGACCCCCAAAGTCCTCCCCCACGGGCTCCCCTCAGGCCCCAACCCCCGGCCGTATTTCAACCCCAGCCCCTGAACCCGCAAAACCGCCGACACGGACCCCCAGGCCTCCGGCCTCGGGTGCTCAGGACCCGGAACCACGTGACCGACCGCCGACCCCCAGAATCGCCACCGCCACGCCCACGGCCAGCACAACGCCCCGGGCCGCGGGCCTCGCTGCGATCCTTGCGGATCCGCTGCACCCCGACACGGCCAGGACTGGGGGAGCGGGGGGTGTCTATAGACACACGCACACTCGCCTCTCGCGTGGCGGCGAAGGACAAAGACAACCCGCGCAACCCGAAAGCGTCGGTAGCCGTGCGAGTGCGCGTGCGCGAGAGGAAGGCCCTTCCTAACTACATTTCCCAGAAGACTGTGCGGCTCGTCGGCGTCCCGGCCTCCTACAGACGCTGGTTGCCTAGAGACGCGGAGACGGCCGTCAGCCCTGGATTGAGTTTCGTGAGTGCAGTTTTGGGAGAAACATAAAGGATTAGTGTTTTAAAAGATTAGGGATCCAAATCCAAAAGTAGCCTTAAGAAAAAGACAGTTGGCTTAAGAATTCAGTTGAGAAAAACGAAAAATATTTTTTAATACATTTATGGAAAGCAAAGAATCCACGGGAAAATGTAAAGCTGATCCATAATTCAAGTGGTGTGGGGGAAAGTTATCATCAACAAGTAACTATACTTATAAAAAAGAGAAAGAAGGGTAAGATAAAAAAAAAAGAGAGAACCACAGACACACAGGAAATTGAATGAGAATTCTGTGTTACATTCAAAATTCTTTATGACACAAATAGATGTATCAAATTTGATCCAAGAAACAAGAAAACCTAATCATGGGTAAAAATGAAGACAAGAAATTCTCTGCCGAAAAGCATCAATCACTGAGTTCCCATTGAACTCTTTCAAATATCCAGCGATCAGAGAATTCTTATATTTAAATAGTTCCAGAGGAATTAGAAGGAACTTTATTAAATAGCATAGACACCAAAATCGACAAATTATGATTTGAAAAGGAAGTTTAGACAGAACTTGATTGTGAGTATCCATGCAAATACTGAGAAATTATTAACAGAGAGAAGCTGCAGTTCCTTATAAAAATATACTGTAACCAAGTGGATTCTATTCTGGAAGCACAGGAATATGGTAATTCATGAATATTACCATATCAACATGTCAAAAGAAAAAAATTAAAAATATAATCACCTCAATAAGATGAAAAGATTTAAAAGTACATTATACATTTTTTAAAAATAACAAATTAGAATGTGTTTGCTACTTTAACATGATAAAAATATAGACTTTAACCATAAAGCCAATATGCTGCTTAATGGTGGAACATTAGAAGTTAGGAACAAGGTATGGATACCTAAGATAAATATTTTAAGGATTGGACTAATATTTGAAATTCAGAACATATGGGTAATGTGTTTCAGTGATCACTGATGAAGTATACACATTTCTACGCCATTTGTTGTTTATAAGCTGTCGGTTCTTTTTTGCCTATTTTCCTGTTGGGTTATCTTTCTCTACTAGATTCATGGATTTGAATGTATATTTACTAATCCTCAATATGCAATATGTTTTAATTTTTTCTATTCCTTGTATTTGAACTTTGTTTATAAAATTGTTGGTCACTTAGATTTTAGTTTTTCCTTTATGGTTTCCATTAGTGTCTTAAGAAATCTTTCTCCATCGTGATAAGATAAAATACTTCCTTATATTATCTTCTAAATTTTGACATTTACTTTTTTTTTAAGGTTTTATTGGGGAATTGGGGGAGGGGAACAGCGTTGGGGAATCGGGGAAGGAGAACAGACAAGTTGCTGTCCCTTTGTTGTTCAGTCTAGTTGTGGAGGACGTCGCTTCACTGGCCCATGTTGGTATTATCATTGCACTCTTCCCGGGTGAGGCAGCTCAGTCGCAGGCCATTGGTCAGCCGCTCACAGCGGCTACCAGCTACTGGCTGCTGGCCACACAAGTAGCTCATGGCAGCCCACTGCAGCCCCACTGCAGCCTACGCCATCACTGGCAACGCCGCAGCCCAGCTCCAGATCGAGGTGTTATTTACCATCTTAGCTGTAGAGGACAGTGTCGCTGGCCCTTGTGTGAGATCCAACCCGGGGCCCTGCTGCTCAGAGCTGGCATCCCAAGCCAACTGTTAAGCAAAGCGCCACTTGACAGGCCCAACATTTATATTTTAACCACCCTGGCGGTAATCCCGGTAATCCCGAGTGTGGCTCGGGGTTAAGTTTCACTGCCAGAAGTGGTAACCCCAAGTGTGCCTCGGGTGAATTTTCACTGCCAGAAGCGGTAACCCCGAGCCACACTCGGGATTACACTGCAGTGTCCCAGAGAAGTCCCTTACCTGCTCCCTGCGATCCTGCGGTGTCCTCCTGTGATCGCCGACGAGAACACCGGCCAATGACAAACTGCAGTGTTTTTTATTTGATTACCTTATTGAATAAAATTATATTATTTTTTATAATTATTATAATTTATGATTTTGTGTTTCAAACTTTATCATACCTGGGATGCCTACTAGACTCTTGTTTGGACAGATTTAAGTAATTCCTAAGAATTACAGGCCTACAATATAAAACAACAAATTTCCATGCAAAACAATGTACCCCTTTGGGTACAAAATTACTGACATAATCAGATCACCAGGGAGGTTAATCTGTCTGGAGTTTTGTGTAGTCATGTAGTGTGAGATACTGATCTAATTTCATTTCCACATGGGAAGCCAATATCTTAATCGCAAGTGTTTTAGTTTGCTAAAACTGCCATAACAAAATACCACAGACTGGGTGGGTTAAACAACAAAATTTTTGTCATAATCCTGGAGACTGGAAGTAGGTCAAGATGTTGCCAGGTTTGGTTTCTTCTGAGGACTCTCTCCTTGGCTTGTAGGTAGCTGTCTTCTCCTTGTGTTCTCACATGGTTGTCCTCCTGTTTGTGCCCTAGTCTCCTCTTATTTTGGATTGGGGCTATCCATATGACCTTATTTTACCTTACCTCTTTTTTTAAAATATTTTATTGGGGAATTGGGGAAGGGGGACAGCCAAGTTGTTGTCCTTCAATCTTCGTTGTGGAGGACGCAGCTAGTTCAGCTCCAAGTTCAGTCGCCATCTGGCCACCTGTTGGCAGCTTGCGGCCACTTAGCTCAAGGTGCAGTGTTCAATCTTAGTTGCGGGTGGGCGTAGCCCACCATCCCATAGGGGAGTTGAACCAGCAACCTTGTTGTTAGGAGCATGTGCTCTCACCAGCTGAGCCATCCTGCCACCTGTTGGCAGCTCAGCTTGGGCGCAGCTCACTGGCTTATGTGGGAATTGAACCGGTGAATCTGTTGCTCAGAGCTTGTGCTCAATCAACTGAGCCACTCGGCCAGCCCCTTATTTACCTCTTTAAAGTCACCATCTCCAAATACAGTCACATCCTGATGTGCTGGGGGGTGGGGGGTTAGAACTGCAACATATGGGTTTGGAGGGGAGACACAATTCAACCCATAACACCGAGTATCAAATAGCCCATTCTTTCTTCAATATTTGTAAATTAATTTCTTTTGTATCTGAAGTTCCTATGTGTTCAAAGGTCCCTTTAGGGAATGTCTTTTCTGTTTCATCACCCTATTAGTCTACTGCTATGTGAATACTACATTGTTTTATTATTCCAGCATTAAAAAAACTTCTTGTATTTAAAAGGGGAAATTCCTATAATTGTAGTGCTTGTAATTATTTTGTTGGATAGTTTGAGATCTGTAAACTGTCATGTAAATGTTAAAATCTGTCACATTTCAAAAAAGTCTTATTGTTTTGATTGCAATTATATTAAATTTATATTTTGTAAGTTAATATTTTTATTATACTTGCTCTACTCCTCCATCAATATCTCTTAATTTTCTTCTCAAATTTTATGAATTTTAATAGCATTTTATCATTTTATTCATAAATTCTGTTTATGTTTTAAAAGATTTATTCCTAGATCTGATTTTAAATTCAACATTGTATAATATATTCATAAATAGTGTATCATTCCTGTTGATATGATGAACATGAGTTCTTTCCTCGAGTATATATTCTTATTGACTATTGTACTATGGACTGTTCATGTACCTCCAAAATTCATATCAAAATCCTAACCCCCCAGTATGGCTCTATTTCCCTAACCTTAAGAAAATTTAGGTTAAATGCAGTCATAAGGCTGGGGCTCTGGTCCCATAGGATTACTGTCCTCATGAGAAGAGACACCAGGGAGGCTCCCTCTCTCCAGGCAACACCCCAAGGGAAGGCCATGAGGACATGGTGAAAAGGGGTCAGGAGACTTTTCTAGACCAATGCATGTTTACATAAAGGATTAGTGAGTATTTGAGGCAGATAACTTTTTAAATTTAGCAATCCAAATTCATGTTTTAATTCTGCCACCTCAACCCTACAGCTGTAAGCAATTATTTTGGTGATGTCACAGAGACTTGCTGGATTTAATACTCTGCCTTGGGATGAGATTTCGGGGCTTCAGGTCTGTCACTGTCGAAGAACTGATAAGACCAGAAGTAGCCATCTCATCTCCTGTCCCAGATTTCCTCACATGTGTGACCTTTTTCTCAGTCATTCCTCAGTGTTCCCAGAATCTTATCATCAGGGGCCACAAGGTTCTTGGTGTACACAAATAACACCATTTCATACAACGGGCAAGAAACGTTCCATCTTATAAATAATCTCATTTTCTTGTTTCAGGAAAAATACCTTAACCACATACCCCACTTTTCTGTAACAGTCTGTCATCTACACACTACTCCAGAGCCACAATTTGTCAATTAAAGCCCTGAGGTTACAAGAAACTCATTCTCCTTAACTTTTGCAGAAAAAGACATTTTTATTGAAAAGATATGAGGAAGCACACATAAGGCCAGAAACCCAGGTTCGAAAAGGGACAGTACCCAGTCATTCTGGGAAATCAATACAGCCGAAGTAACTGATGGCCTCATTAGCGTTCTGGGACAAGAATATACGAGTTCCCACACCTCCCTTCTGGTTCGTGTGAGACTGAATTAGAGACTCCACATCCTGGAAAAGAGGCTACCATTACCCAACAATGGGCATACTGTTCACCTGTGGCTAGCAGAAGGGACACCCTAAAAGACACTACCACAGGATCCACACACAGAGGGCAGGTATTTCTCCAGAGAAAACTAGGGTGCTCTTATCGATCAATGGGAAGACACTGAACTAAAACAGACTCGGCATTCACTAGCGCGCAGCCCTGTAACAACTGCCAGCCCCACTCATGTGGACTCCTGAATAAGAAAACTCATTGGAAGCGATAACTGTATCCTTTCATTTATCAAGAGCCAAATTATTTGAGTTATATTGCTAAGAAAGAGACAATACTGATATTTAGCATTTAATATGGAGAATATTGGGGGATGCTGTCCCACATACTATCAAATATATGTATAACAAGTTACATTAAAAAATACCAAAAGTTTTAAAAATGCTATTCAGTGTTGTTCATGAAAGTCACACTGAGTATCTGTTAACCTTCAGAATGCGTTCCCGGCTGTTTTCCTGACCATTACTTTATTTACATATTAAAATAAAAACCTTTACAACCCACCACGAAAAAGTCCGCCATTTATAATTGAGATTTTCTTCACTCTAACACACAGCTTCGAAGCTGGAATGCAACTCTGCACGTAATACATTTTCTATGGGAAAATGCTTCCCAATTCATTAAATTTATAGTGTTTTCCCTATGAATTCTCCGCATTAAACCTTCATAATGATGCCACCATCTCTGCTACAGTCAATTCCTTCCACTATTCTCATCATGAAGGATTTGTCAATGTCCTTTTTTGTAAAAGCTTTTGCATGTGCATTCCAGGTGACTGACTTCTTTGATGTGTGTTTTTAGGACTTCCTGCTTATCTGTCCTGTCTATAGTGGCATCTGAAGTCTCCCCACGGACCAAGTTCTGTTAGAATGCCTCTGACATTGCTTCATTCTCATTCCTCACTTGTGAGTTTTCCGATGTATGCGGAGTCCTGAATTCCAACAGAAGGATTTCCCACACTCAGAGCATTTCCATGGTTTCTCTCCTGTATGAACTCTTTGGTGCTCACTGAGAGATGA